GGAGACTGCCCGGCCCCGCCGCTCTCTCCGGAGCACTTGCTTAGCGATTTTCTAGGGAGCTCGCTAAGACTTCTTCATCAGAAACGCAATTTCCAGTTATGCCCGCAATCCGTACAGGAAAAATGGAAAGTGCCTCAATTGAAATACATAAAACAATTTAAAATTTGATACTAAATGCCACTTCCTTGGCAGAATTGCTGTCTTGCAAAGAGCACTTACACGGCGTGGCGGGCAGTATGGCTGTATGGCTGTAAGGCTCTATTATGGTTTGAGTAAAATTTCCTGAAGTGCTTGAATCCCATTCCTGCAGGCTATTTAGGCACTTAGGAGCCTAAGTTTAATGGGACTGAAGCTAAGCCATTTCACCTAAATTATTTATGCATTTGTTTAAATCTAACCTTCAAAATTAGGTTCATTTTGAAAGTAGTACATAGATCATATTACCAATATTGGGTGGTTTTTATAAAAATGATATTTTTTCAACTAGTTTCATTCCCAGTGTTCAATTTAAAAGAACTCTTAACTTTGCTTTATTCCAGAACATGTAGGGCATTTTATAAATAATAAATAAGTGAAAAAAGATTACATGAAAAAGATGGAAAACTAATCTAAGGTCAACATTGTGAAAGAGTCTCAGAATGACACTTGCTGCTACAATGTCAGTCAAAGATCTGCTGGAGTTTTATTACAATTTTTTTCACCTGCAAGTTGAGGTCTCTCCCTTCACCCAGACCCTGGTAAACTTTAATTGCTGAAATTTGGCATAAAAGTTGTCCCTTGATATAAGTGAGAAGCCACACCTCAGAAACAGAATAGAAGCAAAAATTCAGAAGTTTCATTCTATTGCGTATAATTTTTTTAATAATAAATCAGCTGGTATTTGAAACCAGTTATTTAATCTTGAGTCTAAAAAGCAAAGCTAATAAGACCTTTGTATCATCTATTCCATGCCAGATGTTTAAGATTCCACATTCAGAATTGGGACTCTAAACAAGGACTGGAAGACAAGAACTCTTCCTCCTCAAGTGAGTTACCTGCACAATGAAATGTTTCTGGAATGAGTCTCTTTAAGCCTCTCTGTCCCTCTTTAAGCCCCTGATATGTTCTGAGCAGAGCAGACTGGGGCTCAGTAATTCCTCAAGCACGGATGTCTGCCTTGCCTCAGGTGCACTGAGCTCCTGGAGAGGCCATGAAAGCTTGAGGAATGTAGAAGTGACAGAAGTCACTCGTGGCCCAAGAATTTCTTGGTGGCGTGGCTGACAGCAGGACTGGGAAAGAGCTGCCAGTAACTCTGCCAGAGGCCTCTGGGTCAGAGGGAAAAGAAACTGGTTTATTCCAAGGCTTGCTGAGAACAGCAGTAAATGAAACCTGGAGGTAAAGGGCATGATCCAGGGTGTGTGTATGATGCCAGCCCTTCCTGGGATAGGGAGAGAGGCCAGCAGCTCATAGAGGCCTTAGCTGGTCATTCTACTGGCAGTGATGCATGAAGCAGAGTAGAACAACTCCCTTTGCCTCAGTTTTATTGGTTCTGGAGTGCTGTCAGTACTAAAAATGTGTTTTTTCAGTAGACAAAGCAAATACAACCTTCAAGGCACACAGGAAGCCAGTGTGGCCAAGAGCAAGATGCCACTTCTTCAGGGTGACATCGCTGATGAGGAGAGAAGAGGAATGCAGCCTGCACGGCTCTGCAGGCACAGCTCTGCAAACACATTATGTAAGCAGCTGACTTCAGTCCACAGCAGCGAGGATGCACAGGAACAATTCAAAATAGATTTGTTTCCTGTTAAATCTGCTAACAGCAAATGGCGTGACCTACTTCACCCAACCCAGATCTCAGGGACATCCCTCTGAATTCAACCCATGGTTTCAAATCAGTCTGGTCTGCAAGCAGTGGTCTCATGCACCACTCCAAACTGCAGAGGGAATCGCAGAAGGTAATAAAACACTGGAAAGCTGAGATGAAGAAGAAGGATGCCAGGTGTGATTGGCAAAGCTGTGCCTTCCTTAGGAGTGGAGGTTTCCTTAGAACTATTCTTGCTTCCCTTTATACTTAAAGAATATTTAAGTCATGCTCTCATTGCCTTTTTCTTCTCATTTTAAAAAATCCGTTGGCATGAAATGATTGTTAAGGAAGGGAAGGGAAAAGCAACAGCATAACCAAATGAGTTCTCTGCTCTTCTGTCATGCAAATTTCTCATATGGCTTTGGGCAGCACATTTCATAGCTCTGCCTTTCCTTATCTGTAGAGCAGGAATGCTAATCCTTGCCTCCTTCATGGAAGTGTTGGAGAGTTTGATGAGATGCTACCAGTATCAATGGAACAATGCAGAGGGAAGAGTCTCCTGTTCTACTAAAATTGTAGAGGAAACCTGTGTTTGAAAGAGCAGACAACTGAATTAAAACAATTTCAATTTTAGTCTTAGGTCCTAGCAAGCTGCTAGTTTTCTCTTCCTTTATACACCTGTATAAATTTTATAAGGAACTTCTTCTCTACCTTTTCTTTAAAAACTGAATCCCTAAAGAAATTCTAAGGGAGATGCACAGCTTGCAGCCATTTTACATAGTCCAAATATATCAGATGACAAATCTACATTATGGCTATCAAGGGTCATGTATGACCTACCCTGGAATCCATCTACCACAGGTAGAGAATCACCATTCCGCTACTTTGAAGTTACATTCTTTAGTGTGGAAAGATTCAGGGAGATCCTGCTGGATCTTTGAAATGTCCCTCTTCCCTCATGAGGAAGGTACCTCATCAGTTTCCCTGCCCCTTTCCTGATACATAGAATAAGGATTGTGCTGAGGATGACAATGTTAGCAGGTGATCAGCTGCTCTGAAGGAAAACAGTTTTGAATCAAAAACTTGGGAAGGTAAAACAGACTTGGAGAGAGAAAAGTTCTACCTTGAAATCCCAACAGAATGGAGGCAGGGAAGGATACATTTGGCCAAGAACATGTATCTACAGTGATAAATAATATATAAATAATATATTGAAACTAAGCTCTGGGATGAGTGTTTTATAGTGGAGTAAATCCTAAGATGACTAATGCATTAAAACAATGAAGAAAAAAACACCCCAAAAAAAGGATACCCCACAAATAAAAAAGCAGCTATTTCTTAGTCTTTTGAGTACAACTATACATAGATGTATCCACTGCCTTAAGAAAAAGTGTCCTTAAAGAATTGCTGTATTTTTCTGATTACATGTCATTCTTTCTCCTAAAATACTGTGCCTCCTTGATTCTCAGCCCACTCTCTTCTTGCTTCTGCATTTTTCCTAAGGTATAGACTTTTGTCTTTAGACCAGAGCTTGTGCATTCATCTGCTGATAAACTGTTTATCTTAGCTTTTATGAGGGCGCCTTGCTGCAAGCCAGCCAGAGACAGGATCCTGGGTGTTTGTCTTTTTTTTGAAGAGGGTCCGGGAAGTGACGGGTATTTATACCTCCCTTGGCTCTATATATCATGGGAGGTGGAACTCCACTGTCTCTGTTTCTTGCTTTTTCTCTCAGCAGTGTCTTCTGCCATAAATCTGAATCTCTCAGAACAGAGTTTTCTTGGCTACAACCCCACTTGGAGGAATTAGTTTTAGTTATTTATTTATTTATTTATTTACGCAAAAGGTTTGCAACAGAGGAAGCCCATAGTTCTTCTAAATCCTCCCCCTCCTCTACCCCACCTACACATGCTACTTTTTGTGCCAAATCCTAATATCTCAGAAGCAAGAGAAGAGACCAGCATCTCACAGTGTGCCGAGCAATTCATTACAGGCAGGGAAGCCAGAGAGAGAATTGGAAAAGATGAAACAGAAACCAAGGCATTTTTTATGTTAAAAAATGACACTTATATTTACAAGCAATGGCTCCTGAAGGGGATCTGAATCTCCACACAGGCAATACTGTTTATCCAAACAAACTCCCTGTGGCAGCATATATTACATTTATACATACATAGCAAGTAGGAATGTATTTATTCATTGCAGTCAGACTGGTCATTAAGAGAAACATCTATTGAGATAAACCAAGTTTTTACTATTCCTTTTTATAAAATGCTAAAGACAACTGAGGGACAAAGATTCAATGAAGCGAAAAATACAGCAACCTCCCCCAGTCAAGGCCTGTGTGCATGGGAGTGATTCATTGATGCCAGCTACTGAATAACCCTGATACATAACATTTCTCACCTCTGATATTTAAAAAGACCCCCTCGCCCTTTTAGCACCAATGGAG